AGCCTGATAAATCATGGCATTGTTCTAGAGAAATGCCACCATCAGTGATCAAGAAACTGGAGGTAAATCAGACCTCTTCCACATTGGAGTACATTGCGTCACACGTCTGTTGCATCTTTGAGAGATTCATATACAACTCACTGGCAATATACATGAATCGGTCGCCTATTATCAAACTACCACAAGACAGACATCTCTGAATTTCACATAACGTCTTCCTTTTCTGGAGCCGACTCATTTTCCTTAGCAATTATAGGTAGCCCTTGTTTTGCACTGGTTCCGTTTGCGCAAAAATAGTGCCCTTTTTGGCAATCACATGACCGCCATTGAAACAGCACCACCTAATGTATGCTTAGGGATACACCGTGAAACACTATACAGTACAACTGCAAGGTGGCTATAATACAACAGCACAGCGCAGAGTTTCTGGCAGCTGGATCGGGGCAGGGGTGGTGGATTGCAGCTCAGAAGGGGGCTCAAAGAACTGTAAACACCTACAGCGGGACACTTGGAGGTATGGTGGTGCACGCATGGAGATGTGCTGGTGGCACAGGGATACACATGGAGATGTACACAGGCATAGGGTGCACACTTGAAACTACAGACGAGCACAGGAGGCACACTTGGGAGATACCAAGGAGCACGGGAGGCACACTTGGGAGATACGGAGGGGCACAGGAGGCACACTTGGGAGGTACGGAGGAGCACAGGAGGCACACTTGGGAGATACCAAGGAGCACGGGAGGCACACTTGGGAGATACGGAGGAGCACGGGAGGCACACTTGGGAGATACGGAGGAGCACGGGAGGCACACTTGGGAGATACGGAGGAGCACGGGAGGCACACTTGGGAGATACGGAGGAGCACGGGAGGCACACTTGGGAGATACGGAGGAGCACGGGAGGCACACTTGGGAGATACGGAGGAGCACGGGAGGCACACTTGGGAGATACGGAGGAGCACGGGAGGCACACTTGGGAGATACGGAGAAGCACAGAAGGCACACTTGGGAGATATGGAGGAGCATGGGAGGCACACTTGGGAGATACGGAGGAGCACGGAAGGCACACTTGGGAGATACGGAGGAGCACAGGAGGCACGCTTGGGAGATACGGAGAAGCACAGGCGGCACACTTGGGAGATACGGAGTAGCACGGGAGGCACACTTGGGAGATATGGAGGAGCACAGGAGGCCCACTTGGGAGATACGGAGGAGCACAGGAGGCCCACTTGGGAGATACGGAGGACCACAGGGGGCACACTTGGGAGATACGGAGGACCACAGGAGGCCCACTTGGGAGATACGGAGGAGCACAGGAGGCCCACTTGGGAGATACGGAGGACCACAGGGGGCACACTTGGGAGATACGGAGGACCACAGGAGGCACACTTGGGAGATATGGTGGCACATAGAGCAATGCTAGAGGCACAGGTGTACCCATGGGGGATTCATAACATCCATTTAAAAGCTTTAAATATAATGTAATGTCACTTTGAGAAAGGCCTGGAACCCAACTCCCTCACTTCCCATTGACTTACATTATATACAGGGTTTCAATTTGCATCCGTTTTTATTTCCAACCATTCCTTCTGGAACCTAATCCTGGTGTGAATTTAGGGTTCCCTATGTTATGACTAGCAGGAATCCCTCTAAAAAGCTCGAGTCTGGTAGTGTCATGGCACTATTTTACACGAGAGGTAGCCACTGCCCGCTCCAAGTACAAATGCGCAACAGTCCATTAGTAGTTTTAGTTTTCCCCATTGGTGACATCCTCATGTTAATACTAGCGGTAGAAGGTTGACTTTTCCTGCTCTGCCACGTTTCCACACCCATAGGCTGATGGGCATTGTAGTTTTTTTTTTATTAGCTCACAGTAACTAGTCAACGCTGCACATTACAGACAAACAGGGACAAGTAGGGTGATTTTTACTACAATGGAACAGGCAATGACCAATGTGCTGTATGTTTGGCTCAGTATAGATGCAAATTTCATTTGTATGTGGTGCACATCACATGTGACACTGCCGGGCAGGACACACCTGCCTATGCCCAGCCACAGCAAGGATTTCACATTGTCACTGGTAATCACAATCTCTTTCAAAGGACTTTGTGATTTTGAAGTAAAGGGTATGGGTTGAGTTTGGGAGATGGAGGATCAAGAGCATTATATGGTTAGTACTGAAGTTCAGCTTCAAAGAAAACCTTTCCTGAAAACAGTGATTGGCGGGGAGGTTATTACTAATTGTCAGTTAACAGTCTGTCAAGCTGACCATTTTATACTGACTTGCAACAGTGTGCAGATTACAACCAACTTTCCAGAGTCAGGAACTGAAAACAGAGTGCAAGAGTCTGTATAAAAGCCAGGCAGCCAGCATTTTTAGATCCAGGTTAGTAATGGCAAATTCGGCAATGCATCTTAATTTACCAATGCATGGGAATACCCAAAGTAGACTTCTTTATATTCTGCTGGAACTGTCCCAGAATGGTAAACTATGTGACTGACTTTAGTTTCATACTGAAAATGTAACTACTTGGTTTCCTCTGCATAATGGGGATTGCCAACTACACTGCTCAAAAAAATTAAAGGAACACTTTGAAAACGCATCAGATCTCCAGTATACTGGACTGGGTAATGTGTTAGGAATGAAAGGATGCCACATCGATTGAAATGAAAAAATTGTCAACCTACAGAGAGCTGTATTCAAAGACGCCCCAAAAATCAGAGTGAACAAATGATGCAGCAGGCTAGTCCAACCCAAAATGGTACTCTGTAATTTGTATGGCCCCCACGTGCTTGTTTGGATGCCTGTCAGTGTCGGGGCATGCTCCTAATGATACGACGGATGGTGTGCTGGGGTATCTCCTCCCAGATCTGGACCAGGGCATCACTGAGCTCCTGAACAGACTGAGGTGCAACCTGGCGGCGTCTGATGGGCCGAGACATAATGTCCCAGAGGTGTTCTATTGGATTCGGGTCAGGCGAGCCTGGGGGCCATTCAATGGTATCAATTCCTTCATCCTCAAGGAACTGGCTGCATACTCTCGCCACATGAGGCCAGGCATTGTCGTGCACCAGCGTAGGCTGTGACAATGGGTCCAAGGATTTCATCCCGATACCTAATGGCAGTCAGGGTGCCATTGTCTAGCCTGTAGAGGTCTGTGCGTCCCCCCATGGATATGCCTCCCCAGACCATCACTGACCCACCACCGGGGGCCAGTCATGCTGGATGTTACAGGCAGCATAACGTTCTCCACGGCTTCTCCAGACCCTTTCACGTCTGTCACATGTGCTCAGGGTGAACCTGCTCTCATCTGTGAAAAGCACAGGGCGCCAGTGGCGGACCTGCCAATTCTAGTGTTCAATGGCAAGTGCCAATCGACCTCCATGGTTCCAGGCAGTGAGCACAAGGCCCACTAGAGGTAGTCCGGCCCTCAGGCCACCCTCATGAAGCCTGTTTGGTCAGAGGCATTCACACCAGTGGCCTGCTGGCAGTCATTTTGTAGGGCTCTGGCAGTGGTCATCCTGTTCCTCCTTGCACAAAGGAGCAGATACCGGTCCTGCTGATGGGTTAAGGACCGTCTGCGGCCCTGTCCAGCTCTCGCAGAGTAACTGCCTGTGTCCTGGAATCTCCTCCATGCTCTTGACTGTGCTGGGAGACAGCAAACCTGGCAATTGCACACATTGATGTGCCATCCCGGAGGAGTTGGCATGCCTGTGTGACCTCTTCAGGGTCCAGGTATCACCTCATGCTACGAGTAATGACAGACTCTAGCCAAATGCAAAAGTCAGAAAAGATGAGTAGGGAAAAAAATGTCAAGAGGCCTCCACCTGTAAAACCATTCCTGTTTTGGAGGCCGTCTCATTGTTGCCCATCTAGTGCACCTGTTACGCTGGGTTCACACCTGAGCGTTTTTTTTATGCTCGTTTTTTTCGTTCAATGAAACGCGTGTTTCACTGGAGGTATGATTTTTTTTTGTTTTCCTTAATTTTCTCTATTTAAAAAAAATAAATATTTTTTTAGTTTCACTTTTAAACTTCTCGCCGGCTCTGCCCCCTGCGACGCGGCCGTTCGCAAGGGACGGAACCCGGAAGTCGCCGAAGACACAGCGGGGATCGTGGACAAGGTAAGACATGTACGCTGTAGTCCCGAGTGTGGCTCGGGGTTACAGCTTTGTTAACCCCGATCCACACTCTGTAATACCAATGGCAACGCGCGGCAAAACGCTAGTGTACTTCTTTGGGCGTAGGGCATTTTGCAGTGCTGTAAAACACCCAGGTGAGAACCATGCCCATAGGCAATCATTGGTTTTCACATGTTGAGCGTTTCCCAGCGTGCAGGAACGCCCTGTAATACGCCCAGGTGTAAACCAGGCCTCAATTTCATCAACACCAAAGCAGCTGAAACTGATTAACAACACCCGCCCCCTCTCTGCTTCCTAACTGACCTGATCAATATCCCCCCAGGAGTTTCATTGACTTGATGCTATACTGATTGAGCAGTGTATGTCACATGGGATTAAACGCATTTGGGTTTGCCAGTAACTTGACACTGCACAGAACATACCGATTTGAAGACAAGAGGCAGACAGGTTCTTGGACACAAAAAGGTTTTCTCTTTAATTAGAAATTTAACAGACATCTGTACATTCCAAAACAAAACCCATACATACATTCTGGTGATGACCCCTGCCTCAATATAAATTAGAGGCATACAGCTTGAAGCAGGGTGGACTGAAGGCTGGGTAAGGCCCATTTCACCACATCACAGGGCACAATGAGGGGCATGTGTTGGCAAGTTCTTTTAAAGGGAACTGGTCAGGACAGCTGTTTAAAAATCCCAGCCGAGCCTTACATCAAACCCCCGGGGCTGTCCCAGAACTAGCACCCCTTCTTGCGGTGCAAGTTCTGGGGCAGCCTCTAGTCAAGCAATGTAAGCTTCCAGGACTAGACGGGAGTCTTGGCTGTGCCACAACTGCTGTTCTCACAAGTCCCCTTCAACACTTGAGGGCAGATGTCTTTAAATGGGAGACAAATCCAGATTTAAGAGTCACTCTGGTGACATACTAGAGTGGAGGTTCCTTAATGCTGAGACCCACCAAGCGAAGGCTGACCTCTGATGTAGGCCATTTTACAAGGCAATTTATTTAATTGTCCACTAAGCAATAACGACGTCACCCGACGGTTTTCACAGTTGGTAGACTGCTTTCTTACATAGCTGGTGCCACACAGGAATGTGGCCGCCCAGGAGTTTGTCACTGGCTGAAGCCTCATGGCCATTAGGGTCCGAGGAGACTTTAAATTAAAGCTTTAGTTCCCTAAAAACTACATCAAATTGTACAGAACACTGACACGATTTGATACTGCAAAGTGAATGAGGGCTGATGGAATGTGACTAGGTTTGGCAATGTTTGGCCGGGTGTTGTCACAACGGTCAATGCACCTCACAAGCCCCTCGGATGGGAGAAGTAGTAAACAGGAAGTGGTTTCGGGAGAGTCACAATTTCAATTATCCTGGTTAGCCTCTTCCACACAAGGATAGGCCAGAAGATACTGCAGAGGGGAGCGCAGATGTTTACTGCAATGAGAACCAGGGCCTATGGGCAGGAGGGGACAAAACTGAAGGGGAGAGGCTAAGGAGAGAGGATATGGGTAAGGAGGATGAGGGAAGATTGACAGATCTTCCATTACAGGGTTAAAACAAAAACTGTAAAAAATATATATAAATTTTGAGTCTCATAGAGACAGAACGATCCCATTTCCCCTCTCCCATCTAAGACACGAACGCCCAGGGAAGGGGAGAGCGCTGGTCAGGAGGAGAGATGCCATCTTTAAAGCTCATCCTTCTGAGGTGTCTCGCTTTCCTCGTCGTCGTCGTCATCATCATCACCTTCCTCCTTCTCTTTTTCTTCCTCATCGTCATCTTCATCATCATCCTCATTGGCCTCTTCAGCGGGCTCCTGCTCTTTCCTCTTCTTCTCTTCCTCTTCCTGCTTCTTGCGCTCCTCTTCATCTTGCTGTTCCTTCATCTTTTTCTCAGCCTCCTGTATGGTTAAAGGGGGAAAATTACATTGGGGTTATTTGTTTTTTAGGTGTGCCTTATGCCAGGTCTGTAGGCCTTCCTGTATCACAGGGTATTAAAGATACTGTCATGGTGCCAAGGGTGGCAAACTGCTGCCAGAGTGGGCACTCAGAGAAGTACATATCTTCTGCAGCCTCCCAAACCTTCAGGTCACAGTCCAATCTAAGGCCATTCTTACAGGCAAAACTATGCACTTCCAGATAGCACTAATGCAGCGGTAGCCAAACTCCAACCCTCCAGCTGTGGTGGAACTACAAATCCCATGAGGCATTGCAAGATTCTCACAGCCACAACTCCCGGAGAGAGATGCATCGTGGGATTTGGTTTCGCAACAGCTGGAGGGTCAGAGTTTGGCCACCCCTGCACTAATGCTTGCCTGCCCCTTGCTACCTCACATTCCTGCTGGCCAGTGAGGCAAATCCAACAGGAACCTATGGGGGCTTAGCAGCAAGCTTTGCCTGTTAGAATGGCACAAGTCTGAAATTAAGATGTGGGATGTTTCTGCGGATTTACCCGTTTATCTGAAGTTCTTCCTCTCTATCTGCAATCTAAGTCAGGGGTAGCCAACCTCAGCATCCCAGCTGTGCTGAAACAAATCCCATCATGCTTCTGCAAGTCAAGTCTGTGCTGTCAGTCTTGCAATGCCTCATGAGGTATGTAGTTTCACCACTGCTGGAGTGCTGAAGTTGCCTACCCCGGGGCCTAAATTCACCACTACCCATAGCACCCAGATTTTTGCTTATGTACACTACAAACGCGTACTTAAGCCCAGAGTGACCTTCCTCTAACTAGTAGCTAGAGTGTTCTGTTTTCACTAGAAACGAAGGACCTTGTGAAGGGGGATATCCATTTGAAGCCAAAACGTAAACCTGAACACCTTCCCCATGTTACAAGAGGGGAAAGAGAGGACATGTGTTCTGTCATCCTGACAAACTGACACTGTTCCTCCATAGACACAGTACAGTCACAGTGAGCACGGTCACCCTAGGACGGGAAGTAAAGCCCTTTACAGAGACGTTTCTCTAAGCATATCAACATTATACACTTTGGCGTCAAGTAGGAGCAGCTCATCTTACAACCTTCAGACACCTAAGTATATAACATTGATTCTTATATTGGATATTGGACCATAAATTTATATGGCAACTACGACAAAGTGCACTCACCACAGTACATAGATTTTGGTTCCCAGCCAAGAAACCAGGTGAGCTTGTCACCTCTTACGATTGCGATTTATTAAAGTGATATTAAAGCCAAAATTGTTTTCTCATTTCTCCTTTAACGAGACCCTGCTTTGCTGGCGGCTGTGTTTTAGACACACAGCACTGTGGCAGGCCACGCCCATTCCTTTGATGGCAGAAGGAGCCCATGGCTCCTCTGCCATCAGTATCCTCCCCCGCAACCCAGAAGTTCGGGGTACTGAGGATCGCTTCGGGACCGGCGGCGGGGACGAGTGCAGCTGAGAGGTAAGTGTGGGGGGAGACTGGGTTAAAAAAAGGTCCTGGGCTGGTTAAAAAAAAAAAGGTCCTGGGATGTTTTTACCCTAAAGCAGAGAATGCATTAAGGTAAAACGGTAAAAATACTACCTTAACACTGGAACCAAAAGTTCCCTGCTCTTTTCTTTTACATTCGGCTTCCTATGTCATCGCTGCCCCAGGCTCCTTAATTGACAGTGATTAAGCATAATCGCTGTCCCCTGAGCTGACCCAGAGGTAGCGGTGTTCTGCCCACCTAGCTCAGTGAACAAGAATGCTTGGCCAAGGGAATGTGTTGTAGGCAAAATAATTTGTTTTAGGAATGTTCCCACTTTAAAATGTATGGGTCCCCTACTCCTGCTCGAAATCAATAGCTACCAATGCTGTACATACCTTTGTGACTCCCCATGTCTTAGCGGCTTGTTCCTCTGCAAACTTCTCATCATCTGTAATCAGGATGTTGTCAAAGATGGTGCCAGCTTTCACCTGTGAGGAAAGGATCATTACTGCTTTTGCTGCACTAAACTATGCGCTGTATTAAATTCTGCCTATAGAGAATTCCTGCTTACCTGCCACAGGTCAAAGCCTAGAGCTCCAAAGTCCTCATAGGAGTACAGAGAAGGATCTGGGGTATATTCTGGGTTGTCGATCTCTGGGTGCTCCCACTTTCCTTTGAAGTCGGGGTTGTCGATCTGGCGAGGTTTCCATTCTCCCTGCAAAAAAGTGACTCGTTACCTCAAGTATGTACCAACCCTATAATAAGCACACCTATGATAACTGTTACGCTGCTTCTAGGCCTTAATGGTTCCTATACAAGAGATAGAAATTTAGTCTAAAAGCATGCACAAAGTGCAATTTAACGGAGAGACTTTTCTAGAGGTTTAAAAGCAACACAGTCAGCGTTCCTTTACCTGCGCTACAAATCTTGCACATCCCTGACAACCAATTACCAAGGGAGAATGCCAATCTAAAGGGACATTTCACGGAAGCCCAGTGTCTGCAAACTATTGGAATCAACAGGCACCCGATAAAAACTTATGTGCTCATTTGCCCAGACATTTAACCTAAGTGATTTTAAAAACTAATGCACAATTTTGACTTGTGACCATTTCTAATAATGCACAGGAAGCCATCAGCTACCCAACACAAGGTGCCGTTTCCCATTATGTATACGTTTCTCTGACAGCAGCACCTTTTAAAACAACTCAGAATAGCAGCATCAGGATCTGTCATGGGCTGTTAGAAGGCCAAGTCAAATTGGAAGCATGCTCCATCATTGATGGCCTAAAGCAGTAAAAGGTGACCTGTAATCCACCTGTACCCTCAACACCAAGTTATTTGGCAGACTAAAGACTCACTGTCCAGGAAAGGAGGGTTGTGTATCATACATTACCCAAGCATGAACATCCTGATGTTCCTCATGCACCCTACTCAACTTCGTAAGCACAGGTCTAAGTACCAATACCCATCGTACTACCTTTATTATAGGCTTTGCTTGCCTTTACAGTTTATTTTCTCTGGAAACTGATGCAAGCTGCCCCTTTACATAAATCTTCAAGGAGCTTTTAACAATCTACTTGTGGCGGTCACATTTGCAATGCAGTTAACATGACCTATTAAAATGGAAAGTGGTAACATGGTCCTCTTCCAAAAGACAATAGGTGGGGGAACTATCCATAGGTTTATCTTTCAGAGACTGTATACATATCAATAGTAAACCTCTGGGTGAGGTCAGAATAAAACCTGCTTACCTTGTACTCTGGATTTGTGATGACTGGTGGCTCCCACTCTCCGTCCATCTCCACATCCCAATCTTCTGGTTTCACTGCATCTGGGTCAGGGATATGTTCTGGTTTCTCCCAGTCCTGCAAAACACAATTAAAAAAGTGACTTTACATTTACAAACCGCAGTTTATCATACACATTCAGATCGGTTATCCAAGAACAAAATCATACTGTCTGTGCTTTGATAACATTACAGAAGCTGCTCATCTATTCTGCTGCCCTGTGCAGCATGCAGTTGTCAGCAACAGGTGCCATTACCCTGCGAGGGGCTGGTCAGATTATCAGACACCCACCTCTGGTTTCTTGTCCTCGGGATCGTCAATCTTGGGACGCTCATCCCAGTCTTCAGGCTTCTTGGCCTCGGGGTCCTTGATTTTCTTGGGAGGAAGGAAGTCCCAGTCGTCTTCCAGGTTGCCAGATTCCACCTTGCTGTTATCAATTTTCACCTCGTAGGTGTTATCGGGACGTACAATCAAGGTGTAGAGATGAGTGAAAACATCATCCTGAGAAAGGGAAGATCACAGATACAGATTTTAGCACTATATAAGTAAATTAATCCGATTTGAAATGCATCCACCCTTCAGTTTGACAATAGACAGGAGTCTCCTCCTTTAAAGTAGCGTCTGTTCGGTGATTCCCTAAACCAGGATTATATTCCTTCCAAGCTATAAAGCCAAGTATCAGCACTATATACCATAGTATGGGAAGGGAATGGGACATCCATGTTGCACCTGGCATGCATTTGGTGCTCAGCCAGAAGACAGACAGCAGCCTTGGCACTACAGTCATTACCGTGCACCCTTATTTTAAAGCAAGGACTATGGGGGCTCTGCATTGGGAATATGGTCTGTGCCTTCCTGCCCTGGAGACTGCCCCATTTACTCACTCCCTGCCCTGATGCCAGACAGAAATAAAAGGACTCTCACCTAGTCCTACAGTAGTAAAAGCCCAGCAAGAGTTTCTAATCCTTGCCCACTATACAAAACCAAACGTTTTGGATGACATTGGATCTAATGCATTTAGCCTAAACACCTTCATTTCTGGAACATCGCGAAATCTGTAACTAATGTATATATACACGAGAGAGAACACTTTAAAATACCATTACCTAAAACCCAAATGGGTTTTGTCAACCTGAAGTTTTAAATGCAGCTAAGGACCAAGCCTAAATTCTCCACTCACTTTGCAGCGGATGTCTTTGTTGATCTGCATGTTCTTGCCCTTGTAGTTGAAGATGACGTGCACTTTCTTGGTGGGTGGCCCGCAAATGTCAGGACCTAAGAGACAAGAAAGGATTAGAAGCTTGCAATAGTGAGGTCATTTAGAGACAAGCCAAGTAGACAGTGCTTTCAGTGTAACAGCGAATATCTGTGTCCCCTCTTTAAAAAAAAATTGATCTTTAGAAGATAAGAGCTGTGCTTGGACGAATTAATGGATTTGGTCCTACAACCACTTCAAGGCAGCTTGATGGTACATTCTGAACCCCATCATGTCTGAGCACCGCCCCTTCCCACCCTCAAATTTACCGGCAACACTCAGCTGTAAAAAATATAGGGACTTACCATGTAACACTGTTAGTAAACTGACCTTCCAACAAGGTTTATAAACACTGTTCAGATGAATAGAAAGATACCCAATGCTGTTAGTCTATTTACTCTGCCCCATTCATATGAAGATCAAAGGGATGAGCTTCGGATCTGCATATATCAGTTAAAGCAACTCAGAAACAAAAATTAAAAAGTTTTTATATAGAACTTTTTTTAACCCTTATTATACCCTAATCAGCCATAATTAACTGCTCCTTCCCCGTAACTATTTTCCTGCCGATTGTATTTCTATTTTTCTGTTTAAACTTTTGTTTTAAATGCTGCATAAAAAAAAAGCACAAAATGTACTTAATTGGTAAATAACTGCAATGTTTTGTACCAGAATTAGAATTTTAGTGTCATTTTAAACCGGCCATAATAAAATGAATACGTTTTAGATACACAAACACTTTCTATACATCCGTGTGCTGCAATACAAAACTTCACCAGCAGGTGGCTCAAGCTAGCTTACTGCAGCTCCTTCTCCCGCTGTACCTATGAAAGTATGATCGGGCTCCCAGACACAATAAAGGGGATTTCTAGTTAAAGAGGAAATGTACAAAGTTCAGGCAATAAGGTCCTTCGAAGAAATCCTAAGGTGTTCTCCACATCTGGCCTGTCAGATTTAGAAGCCTTGCTCAATACACTTACCAAACATGATGTTGTACTCGGACTCTCCGTGCATCTCGGTCTGTTCTAGAGTGCCGGGGAAAAGCTTCACGTATCCACCACCACAGTCGATGTTCTGCTCGTGCTTCACCGTGAATTGAACTACAAGAGTCTTGTCCTTTGTGGAAAAAGAAGGGAATCGAGCAGAGTGGGCATAGAATTTGGCATCCTGGCTGGTCTGGAGACCTGGAGGGGAGAAGCAACAGTGGTGTCCATTATAAGAGTTCCAACAGCCGACCTGAAAAGAGGACTTTATCTCAAATGGCTTTCATTCCTAGCTGCAGATCCCTCAAGCGGAGCCAAGTGCTCACTTGAAAATACAGACGCCCCAATTATTGTTATGGTGCTCCTTGAGCTCAAATCTATAGAGTAGTGCTGCATTTGAGCATCGGACATGTATTGCCCCTTTAAGGACATCTCTAGCTTAGCCACACGGGCAGTAAAGTGCTTCAAGCACACACACACACACACCAATACTGAAAATGTGAATGGACACATGCCAATAAGTGTGCACAGGACCTAAAGCTTGGAGTAAAGGTGGTACGTGGGAAAGTAAAGCATCAAGTCTGGGGTCCTGTGGTGGGATATGCCAAGCCCTAAACAGCTGGTGTCAACAGTAGTTCAGTGATGTCACGGCATTACACCTGAGCTACTGGTTTCCTCAGCTGTTCAGGGCTTGGCTGAACAACTTTCCCTCTGCTGTGAGAACGCATGAGGTTACTCGCTCAGCCATTCGGTGAACACATAGTATTTCATCCAGAGAATGCCTAGTATTCATTGACAAATACTAAGCGTTCACTGAATGGCTGAGCGAGCAACCTCATGTGTTCTCATCACAGCAGAGGGAAAGTTGTTCAGCACAGTGGCATTACCAGGACCTTGAAGAGCCCTGTAAAGCACACTAGTATCTGCAGCAACTACAGTGTTTTAAAGACTCCCCATGGTCCTACCAGGCTCATGACAGATCCAACCTGGACTGTAGGAAACAATCAAAAACTGAGGGACGTGGGGTTAAAATGTTTTATATGTGTTATCTGTATAAGGAACCAATCATTTCAGGTTGCTGTCCTGGAAGATGATTGAGGAAATGTATATTATATACGCACCGGGCCAAGCTAGACCAATACATACTTTTACATGGAATTCAGCTTTAATATACTATCTATCCAATTATCAAATCTGTATGATCATCAAGCTGAACCAACCTTTGCTGGATTCTAGTGTGCCAACCTGCAGAACTCTTACCTTTGTCTTTCTCTTCATCTCCGTAAAATTTGCCCGCAGTCAGCTTGAAGGCGCCGTAGTCTGTCTTGTGCTTAGATTGCGTCCAGCGTTCTTTCCAGGCATCTGAAAAGGAGAAAAACATGCACATTAGCAGAGCCTACAGGACACCCTGACAATACAGAGCAGATACAACAGAGTGCTTGTAACCTGAAAGCACAAGGTTTGATGGAACAATACATTTGTAAAGCACCTGCCCATCAGAGCATTGTCACATGTGACTGAAGTACATCGCCCATAACAAGTAGGGCTGAAATTAAAGATTCATTTCTCGATCGTTAAACTTTTTGATCGCTAATGAAAACACTCACCTCTCCGCCGGCTTCCAGGAGTCCCGTCGGCGATCCGGTGACGTCACGGACATAGACGTCACCAGACTCCCCGCCCCCCCCTTCCCCAAGTGGCTACGTCGGCTAACGAAGGGAAGGGGGAGGAGTCCGGTGACGTCGATGTCCGTGACGGCTAACGAAGGGAAGGGGGGGGAGTCCGGTGACGTCATCGGACTCCACCCCCCTTCGTTAGCCGACGGAGCCACTTGGGCCGCTGAGTTTGCCCAAGAAACTTTCTGCATGAGCGCCAGCCAAGGCATTGGCCTATACACATACAGCACAGCAATGAAGTAATAAAATGAACTAGGATCACACTAATCCAGCACGTTATTAATCTCACGTGCCCCACTCAATATGGCCGCCGCTTGAGTGGGGCAACTCAGATTAATAACGTGCTGGATTAGTGTGATCCTAGTTCATTTTATTACTTCATTGCTGTGCTGTATGTGTATAGGCCAATGTAGTTGGATCTGTATGTGCGTTAGAATGAATCAAAATTAATCGATTAAAAAACATTTTGATTAATCGAACACGAAAATTTTAATCATTACCAGCCCTAATAACAAGTAGTGATGTGCAGAGACTGGCAAGTAATCAATGCACTTTACAGCCCATAAACTAGTATTTTGAACAGTCCGGGGTGCTTTGCCCTATGAAAGAACTGTAAAGTTGGATCCGGCGGTGGAAGAGATGTGCTTAGCATAATGCTGCCAATCTAACATGCTTTCAGGTGCTGGGGGCAAGACCAGGAGGTGCTCGGTTATATATGCGTTGATGTTCTGCTTTGGACAGAGGCTGCTAGCACTGCAACCCACAGGACATTTGCCTAAATTCCCCAGCGTATGCACAATGTACAGGCTGCTTCACGATTTGCATAAACAGTCATCCGAAAGTCCCGTGTATGTTCGTGACGTCTGCCTAGTACAGGCAAGCAGGTCTGGGGTTCTTGCCCCAGAGTGAGGAAGATGGCACTGTCATGGCTGGTTCCCTTCAATAAACGAGACCTACTTTGATGTGTAAACTGTATATCAGGAGTAGGCAACCTCGGCATGCCAGCTGATGTGGCACTACAAGCCCCATGAGGCATTGCAAGACTGAAAGCCACAGGCATGACGTGATTTGTAGTTCTCACCACAGCCAGTGCCGAAGTTGCCTACTCCTGGCCTAGCGCATGAGGCAGAAAGTTTATGGACACATTGGATGCGGCATTTTTTTAACTGGACATACAGGAGGCGGCAGAATGTTTATGGATCGGAACAGATGCAGCAGCAAGCCCACTTAACTGCACCCCCCCCGATGATGCACTGTGGCCCATGCACTTAGCAGGGGGGCAGCTGCAAGAACCCAGAAGAGATAGCTGGCCGCCTGATAACATACCGCAGCCCATGTGGGCATTTATCGGGGGGTAGCCGTAAGAACTCAGATAGCTAGCCCTCTGATGACGTCACAAGATGGCGGTGCGGCATCAGCTGCGCAACAGCCGATCCCCACAGAACACAGCTAGATTGTTGGCTATATTCTTAAAGCATAGTCCAGTGAAAAAGGTAAAGGGTGGGGGAGATATGGGGGTGGTAATGATTGCTGATCACTCCATACTATTGCTGCAAAAAAAAGCAAAACATTTACTGTAAAATGCACTAAACGAAAGGTCAAAATTTAAATGGCGACGCTGAAGCCGCCACCTGAACTGCCGCCCATGTTTACGCTTCCGTGGAAGGACGAATACTCATTCCGATACCCGAGCAATGCTTTCTCTTTCACTACAAAAAAGCAGAGAGGAGGGTGCCGAGAGTCAGGCAATGAGCCCCCTCCCCTCTTCCCCACACCCTCCTGCTTCCAGAAGATTCAATACAGCCTCATACAGCTGCATGATGACCAGGAAGAAGGAAGGGAGGATGACTCAGACAAATGGGAGGAACGGCTTCATTAAGACGGCAGCCCAGCCGGTTAGACGGCCTTTTCTTATGCAGATTCCACTCAGATTCTGATTGGCTGATCTTTGGGCAGACACTCAAACTGCAAAATGACATTCAAAGCCCCCCCGGTGGGGCTCCGACTGCCAAAAAAATGGGCCCGTATGTAGCCACACCACCCAGGAAGAGAAGAGTGTAAGCCTGGCAGGAAGGGACCCAAGTGATTGTGCCCTCTTCAGAATCAACTAAGCGCGCCCATCCAAAACACGGGCCAGAAATATGACCAGACCCTGGGGCCAATTGTAGACATTTAACCTTTGAGTGATCTGCAGGTCAAATAGAACGTTACGATTTCACGCAGAACCCCCCCCCCCAAGAGGTCAGCGTGTATATGTGGATGTAAAGGTACGGATCAAGATGGAAGTTTCTAGAATGCCAATCTATGGTACATGTTACCTGGGCAACCATAGGCCTGGCTGAACGTGCAGGGAGAACGAGCATCTTTCATGTATTTAAAGGACTACAACCCCCCAGCATACCCATGTTGAAACCTGTTCCCCCCAATGTCCCTATGTCCCTACACTGGCAGTAGATTTACCAAATCGAAACGGGGATTCAATACTGAAGAGACGGAATAGGCAACCTCATCACTCCAGCTGCTGTGGAACTACAAGTCCCATGACGCATTGCAAGACTGACAGACACAACTCCCAGAGGCATTGTGGGATTTGTAGTCCCCACCACTGCTAGAGCGCCAAGGTTGCCTACTCTTGCATTCATTTTGCCACCCCCTTCCCTGCGGGTGGTAACAGACTCCTGTTGGGTGACAACACTCCATATGATTTATGTGGAGAACTACAACTGCAAGCATTAGTCAAGGACACGCTGAGGAGGTAGTGCTCTGCAAGCAGGAGGAGAGGCTTTTGCCTACATCCCTTCCGGCTTTTGTACTAAACCTGAACAGCTTGACAGATTCCAGAAATGGATTACGCTGGGACTCGAAAACAGACAGGCAGTATGCTAAACAGGATCCCAAATCTGATATCTGGGGTCTTGTATCTGTAACATACATCCAGCTTGGCTGTATGGGGAAAATCTTACTGTGGTGAACAGAGACTTCGTACCACTACAGCTTCGTACTAATGCTAAAGAGTAGTCAGAAGGCTCTTTACAGTTCCGTTGACAGAACCATCGATCTGACCCCCATGAACTATTAGATTATCGATCGGCCGTTCCCAAAACTAAGGCCAATCTACAGGTGTAAGCGCAGCTTTAAATGGCTCCCTTCTGTACCTACTGCTGTCCAACTCTTACCTGGGGGCATGTTCTGCCATTGCAAGCCGCTCTCTACTGCAATTCAAGGTAACCATTTAGAATGGGTGACGTAGATGACCTGAGACCCCCCAAAAAGCATAACTGTCCCCAGGGAGTGAACAGGATGAGGATTACAGTAATGCTGAATAAGTGAACACACAGCAGTAATTAGTAAGCCGACCGCCCGGGTCCCAGGGGACAGAAAATGTCACACTACGCCTAGGGCACATCCTGTCATTACAGCACGAGTCTGCACACAGGGGACTGGCGGCCCTATCGGATCTACAGCCGGTTATGGGACAGGTGAACTACAAGTCCCAGCATCAGCTACCAGCCCTCATAGGGAGAGACGATCCATCGCCAGTACATAGATCGCTCACTGGGAACAACAACTTTCAAGGGCCAGTAGAAGAACTACAAGTCCCAGCATGACCTGGTCATGAGGTTTACTAGGTCTTTGAGAATCGAGAAATTAGATTTAATTTATGACTAGAGAAGGAGAAGGCAGCTGCACTATAAGTCCCAGCAATGTACATGACAGGCTTTTTGGGACTTGTAGTGCACCTACAGCTAAAAAGCTCAGATTTTATGACTACATGCCCAGCATGGCAGTCAGGGAGCTGCACTACAAGTCGCTGCTTGCAAAGGCTTTCTGAGACTTGTAGTTAATCTGCAGAGGCAGCAGATTTTCAGTTGTCATGCCCAGCCATGGCAACAGCAGACAGGCATCATGCAGTTGCACTAGAAGTCCCAGCAGTGCCTTGCCGCAAGGCCAGGGCAGCGAACACTGAGCTCCTATAGTTAATATCGGGGTTGCATTAATCTACAAATATGTCCCCAGTGATAACCCCAACGTCACATCCCCGTTCAGGGTACATACCTCCATCGCTGAATTCCTCTTGGAAGAAGATGGAGGGTTCAGCGGCGCAGAGGGCCGCCAGCAGTGGTAATACGAGGAGAGCGATGCGGGCCATGGTTGAACCCCCGAGACAACCGTTAGCAGCAGCGCCTAAGATCCACTGAGCACCCAGCGCCGGCCAACTGCCGCTCTTATATGCCCTCTCCGCACCCTCCTCCCGAATATGCTCCTATTGGCCGCCCCTACACCGGTGTCCGCTGGCCATTGGATGGCTGGTTCTGCCATTCAGGACACACAGATGGCCGCCCGTGATTGGGCCGGGCCGCGGCCAATGAGCGAACAACACGCAGGGGCCTCCTACTAGTCGTCAGTCGGTTGGCTGGCGGGACGGGGCTGCGGATAGGTCACGTGGTGCGGGGAAAGCTGGAACTGTGGCACGTGATCCCTTCCGGCTGTGGGCGTGGCCTGCGTTTCCATAGACATAGATGTGCATTGGTGGCTATTGGAGTGGGGTATTGGAGGGGGCGAGAGGAGAGCCCTGTGTGTCCTCCAATGGCTGCCACATACTAATGTATTGGTTACAATGTAATAAAACAATGCTTCATTCCTCCTGGAAAATAATAAATAATTGTGTCAGGTATCCCTGCATGTCTCTGGTATGTCATAGAGTAACACAACAAAAGAAAGGATATACATTTGGAGGGAATTTATAAAAACTGGAGCAGACAAAATCTGGAGCAGATTTGTACTGCAGCCAATCTGCTTCTCTCTCTCATTTTTACATCTTACCTGAACAAACTGAAGAGAGATGCTGATTGGTTGCCATGGGCAACTGCTCCAAATTCTGTTTGCTCCAGATTTGATAAATTCCCCCCATTGTATTGCTTATTGTACAATAACGTTGGTGTCACTGTCTGCACCTCACTGAACATGGACCAGATAAAGCAAAGGAGAGAGAGTTGAGTGAGCAGATCAGAAAGATCATTATGGACCAGCAAGTGAAGGGTGAATGCTTCAAGACCATCTTCAATATAGGACCATCTTCAAGATAAGGCCATCTCCAATCTCGGGACCATCACCAATATAAGACCATCACCAATATAAGACCATCTCCAATACAGGACCATCTCCAATACAGGACCATCTCCAATAAAGTACCATTTCCAATTAAAAAACCATCTCCAGTATAAGACCATCTCCAATATAGGACCATCTCCAATATAGGACCATCTCCAATATAAGACCATCTCCAATATAGGAGCATATCCAATATAGGACCATGTCCAGTATAGGACCATCTCCAAAACAAGACCATCTCCAATATAGGACCATCTCCAATATAGGACCATCTCCAATATGAGAGCGTCTCCAATCTAGTACCATCTCAATCTAGAACCATCTCCAATATAGGACCATCTCCAATATAGGACCATCTCCAGTATAGGACCGTTTCCAATATAAGCCCATCTTCAGTATAAGACCATCTCAAATAAAAGACCATCTGCAATATAGGATCATCTCCAACTGAAGACCATCTTCAGTATAGAGCCATCTGCAATATAGGAGCATCTCCATTATAGGATCATCTTCGATATAGGACCATTTGTAATATAAGACCATCTTCAATTTCAGGTTGACATGTGCAATTGGTTTAGTTACAAATTGAAATTTGTATGAATTCCTGTAAATTCTGACATTCGGATGCATCCGAATTTCCGAATGACAGAAATAATGAATCTGAAGGAATCTGAATGTTTGGAAATTCGAATACATAGAAATTTCATTTGGAAAGGAAACACAACAAGCGGGAGAGCTGTGTGTCATTTGGTCACACATTTTAACATAATCACGCCCACTTTTTCGGCATTGCAATATGTGACCGGCAAAAGGTGAAGAATTCCAACGCTTTCTCAGCTGTTCCCGGGCAGATCGGCATCGCAGATGGTATGTGCAGGAGAACCGATCTGCCCGGGAACAGCTGATCGGTCCTGAAATGTCACTTCTATCCGACTCTGTGGAATGTGAGATCGCTCTCACAAAGTCGGATAGAAGTGACATTTCAGAACCGATGAGCTGTTCCAGGGCAGATCGGTTCTCCTGCACATACCATCTGCTATGCCGATCTGCCCTGGAACAGGTGGGATTCTTCACCGGTCACATATTCCACCGCCGAAAAACTGGGCGGGATTACGTTAAAATGTGTGACCACGTGACCGGTCCCACATTCAACCACCCAAAAAATGGGTTGGATTAGGTTAAAATGTGTGACTACGTCAATGGTCACACATTCTAACGCAGTCACAAAATTTGATAGAACAACGGCTCTCTGGCTTCTCTGCATTTGTATCTCTGAGGACACGTTGTTCCCTCTGTAAAGAATCTGACGCCAAGGAAGGACCAGAAATGGCAGCCTCCAATGGTTTCCTCTACCAATGAACAGACGGTACTGTGGGAGGTGCAGGTTATGGGCATGTCTGAGACTTGTGTGTCACCAAACAGAACACTACAAGAGCTGCATTTACCAGAGAGTGCTAGAACCAGGGACCGATTTCCCACAAGGCCAACCAAGGCCCGGCCTCGGGGCAGCAGGGAGTAGAGGAGCAGCAGGGGTGTGGAATTCCTATCTCCCGATGCCCGGGACATGCAGTTCCGGGCGCTGGGCGTGTAGTTCTTTTCTACATTTAGCCCTGCTTTAGGCAAGCAGGGCTAAATGTACAGCTGGGAAGCCGCTGCTTGTTTTGTACAAGTGATCTCGGCGATGTCGCCGAGATCACTTATATGCAGCCTGGAAACCCGGCCCTGGCTATAACAGAACTTTTTTAGTATCTCTCTGAAGTCTGAGGCCCAGGCCAGTCAGCCATATTGCACTTTTCTAATCCTAATCTTGGTGATGCTGTTTGAATTGCAGTATGAGTTTCAAAGGTCACCGAGGAACGCCTGGACCAGCTTGTGGGTAGCGGAGCCTGCATGTATTGTGTATTCAACTTTCATTTGACATAAAAGCTTGCAGCCTCATAGCATATGTAGGGTGTGTCCAGATTTATTTGGCTGGTCTATACATTGTAATTATAGGTGTTGTGGTACGTGCATTGTACTGGAGTTAGGTGTGAGCGTTCCTGTCACTAGTCAAAAGCAGATATTTGTATAAACAGGGAAATGCTATCTGTGCATACAATATACATACACTATATTGCCACAAGTATTGGGATGCCGGCCTTTACACGCACATGAACTTTAATGGCATCCCAGTCTTAGTCCGTAGTGTTCAGTATTGAGTTGGCCCACCCTTTGCAGCTATAACAGCTTCAACTCTTCTGGGAAGGCATCCACAAGGTTTAGGAGTGTGTCTATGGGAACGTTGGACCATTTGTGAGGTCAGGTAGTGTTGTTGGATGAGAAGGCCGGGCTCGCAGTCTCCGCTCTAATTCATCCCAAAGGTGTTCTATGCGGTTGAGGTCAGGACTCTGTGCAGGCCAGTCAAGTTCCTCCACCCCAAACTCCCCTATCCATGTCTTTGTGGACCTTGCTTTGTGTACTGGTGTGCAGTCAAGTTGGAACAGGAAGAGGCCATCCCCAAACTGTTCCCACAAAGTTGGGAGCTTGAACTTGTCCAAAATGTCTTGGTATGCTGATGCCTTAAGAGTTCCCTTCACTGGAACTAAGGGGCCGAGCCCAACCCCTGAAAAACAACCCCCACACCATAATCCCCCCTCCACCAAACTTTACACTTGGCACAATGCAGTCAGGCAAGTACTGTTCTCCTGGCAACCGCCAAACCCAGACACGTCCATCGGATTGCCAGACAGAGAAGCATGATTGGTCGCTCCAGAGAACACGTCTCCACTTCTTCCTCTTCTCTAGAGTCCAGTGGCGGCGTGCTTTACACCACGGCATCCCACACTTTGCATTGCACTTGGTGATGTAAGGCTTGGATACCACTGCTCAGCCATGGAAACCCATTCCATGAAGCTCTCTACGCACTGTTGTTGTGCCAATCTGAAGGCCACACGAAGTTTGGAGGTCAGTAGCTATTGACTCTGCAGACAGTTGGCGACTTCTGCGCACTATGCGCTGACAACGCTCTGTCATTTTACGTTGCCTACCACTTTGTGGCTGAGTTGCTGGTGTTCCCAGTTGCTTCCACTTTGTTATAATACCACTAACAGGTGACCGTGGAATATTTAATAGCAAGGAAATTTCATGGAACACCTGAATCCAATGATTTGGAGGGGTGTCCCAATACTTTTGGCAATAGTGTATATGGATTCATCAGAGCGTGCACCACCAGACACTCAGAAATAGAAGAGTGTCAGCAGATTAACAATGTACATATCCGAGATTGATCCAGGGTCAAAGTACAAAGGACGTCACAACGAGCGCGTCCCTTTATAAATTTCATTTTTGTCCAGAATGTACCATGTAATACGCAGAAGGCGCAGGAAATAAAAGCGGGCCTGGTGCATGAAGCATGCAAGTCTATTATTTGCGCATTTGCTAAACACAACAGAGAAGTCATGTTTGTAAGCTGCCACAACTGATAAGAACATGGTCAATGGAGTGCATGTTGGGCAACGTTCCCATTACAACCATGTGGAATGTGGCCGCCTCTTTGTAAGTAGGCAGGAAAATTCTGAACACATCTGATTTCCCTAGCGAAGTCCACACCCCCCCCCCCCTTCCCCCAAGCATTCATTAACAGCCATGCAGAGAATGAGTGTCACACAATGGTTTGCAACACGTTACAATTTGTAGCCACCTTGAGTAGACATGGGCAGCAAGCTCAGCATGCTCTCAGGAACGATGGCTCGTAGTTTAGATCGGTGGGGAGGTTAGTTCCAGATCAGTCCGGGATGTCTGAGATGCATTTATATTGATTGATATCAAGGAATCAAAGCAAAGCACTGAGATACATGGCAAAAGCAACAATTAATGCCAGAGTCCAGTGCTACGAATGATGCATGTCAGAGCCGAACTGATACATTAGCTTTCAACTCGGGGAGGGTCAGTGTTAGGGTTACATACGCACTGACCCTCACACTAACCTTGTGTGTAACCCTAAAACTGACCCTCATACTAACCTTGTGTGCAACTGTAATGCTGACCCTCACACTAACCTTGTGTGTAACCCTAACACTGACCCTCATACTAACCTTGTGTGTAACCCTAACACTGACCCTCACACTAACCT